GCAAGAGGCTGAGGAGGAGGAGGAGGAGGAAGAGGAGGAAAAGGGAAACGGGCGGGTGGCGGGTGACCGAACGCACAGCTGGCTCAGCGGCACGGGGCGGCGGGCAGCCCAGCGGCGGGCTCTGGCCGCTCAGGCATGGCAGGCTGTGCTTCCCTCCCTCCATACAGACTGACTGCCTCCCTGCCTGCCTGCCTGCCCACCTTCCTCCCCAGCCAGCACGGTCCTGCATCATTCAGTGCACCCGGCGTACAAGATGGCCCCCCCCCCACTTGGAGGCATGTTTTTTGGGCCCAAAAAGTCATCTTGTACGCCAGCAAATACGGTAATACAAATTTCTGAAACAATTTTTAAGAAGCAACGTATTTCTCAATTTTCACTTTCTCATTTCAATACATAACAAATACTGACCATCACTCACAAAATAATTTATGTGCATTCTTTGACAAAGTGCCAAAGTGACAATAATATACAAATTTAGTAAAGAGGACAATGTTTCAGATATGGTTACAGATGCAAACACTGGCCAGAATCCTTGTAGTTATGTGCCAGTGTACATACAAAGGCGTAAACTGCATCTGCAGATTGCCACTAATTAAAACGTCAGTGCTTATATCTCTTGTTGCATGTGCATTGTGTGAGTGAGGGTACAATGAGAGATACAAATGACAATTCATTAACACCAGAATCAAAGAACATGAGAGACACTTGCCGGCAGCACTCATGCAGCCCCAGACCATGACACTCCCACTACCCTGCTTGACTGTAGGCATGACGCACTTGTCTTTGTACTCCCCACCTGGTTGCCACCACACACGCTTGACACCATCTTAACCTAATAAGTTTATCTTGGTCTCACTGGACCACAGGACATGGTTCCAGAAATCCATGTCCTTACTCTGCTTGTCTGAAGCAAACCGTATCTGGGCTTTCATGTGCATCATTTTTAGAAAAGAGTTCCTTCTGGGACAACAGCCTTAGAGACCAATTTGATGCAGTGTGTGGCATATAGTCTGAGCACTGACAGGCTGACCCACCCCCTTTTTGTCTGAAGCAAACCGTATCTGGGCTTTCATGTGCATCATTTTTAGAAAAGGGTTCCTTCTGGGACGACAGCCTTAGAGACCAATTTGATGCAGTGTGTGGCATATAGTCTGAGCACTGACAGGCTGACCCACCCCCTTTAACCTCTGCAGCAATGCTGGGAGAACTCATACATCTGTTTCCCAAAGCCAACTTCTGCATATGACGCTGAGCACGGGCACTCAACTTCTTTGGCTGAGCATAGCAAGGCCTGTTCTAAGTGGGACCTCTCCTGTTAAACTGCTGTATGGTCTTGGCCACCGTGCTGCAGCTCAGTTTCAGGGTTTTGGCAATCTTCTTATAGCCTAGAGGCCATCTTTATGTAGAGCAACAATTTGTTTTTTCAGATCCTCAGATAGTTCATGACCATGAGGTGCCATGTGGAACTTCCAGTGACCAGTCTGAGAGAGTGGGAGTGATAACACCTGTTCCCCCTTCACACCTGAGACTTGTGACACTAATGGGTCTTATGACACCAGGGAGGGAAAATGGCTACTTGTTCCCAATTTGGACATTGTCACTTAGAGGTGTACTCCCTTTTGTTGCCGGTGGTTTAGACATTAATGGCTGTGTGTTGTGTTATTTTGAGGTGACAACAAATTGACACTGTTATACAAGCTGTATACTAACTGCTTTACATTGTAGCCAAGTGTCATTTCTTCAGTGTTTGTCAAATGAAAAGATATACTAAAATATAATGAAATGTGAGGGGGTGTACTCACTTCTGTGATATACTGTATAGCAATTCATGACTTCAATTAATGCCATTCTACTTACAGCAACATAACCAACTAGTAGGATTCTGGCATGTGTCTTCCAGTTTCTTGCCATACCCATCTTGGCAACAAGTAAACTTGAAACCATTCTGATAGCTGATTCTTAAACAAATCCTTTTATATAACCTAAAAAATTACTTTAAGAATCAAAAGTATATTACAGTTTAAAGTATAATTAGTAAACTCAATCACAGCCTGCCAAAAGAAACATATTTTCAACACATGTAATATTTCTGTATTGAGAACCGCCTTCCAATATGGATTAAGTTCTCAAGTCAAGACCCCACTGTAGTAGGATTCTGGCATGTATCTTCCAGTTTCTTGCCATACCCATCTTGGCAACAAGTAAACTTGAAACCATTCTGATAGCTGATTCTTAAACAAATCCTTTTATATAACCCAAAAAATTACTTTAAGAATCAAAAGTATATTACAGTTTAAAGTATAATTAGTAAACTCAATCACAGCCTGCCAAAAGAAACATATTTTCAACACATGTAATATTTCTGTATATTCTGACTTACACCTCCAGCACATATCCAACAGACTGGTGTATGTGTGTGTTTGTGTGTTTGTGTGTGTGTGTGTGTGTGTGTGTGTGTGTGTGTGTAGAAACAGATAGAAATAGAGATAAAATTGATAATTTATATGGTGCAAGTACCATTTAATGAATATTTTACAAACTTTCTCTCTCAAACTCATTGAATTTAACTTTGAATTTATACTTCTATAAAAGTACTTCCAGTCCTCATTCACAAGTACTTTCTCCACTTCCTAATATACATTAAGGAGTTCTATCTAAATCTAGTAACAATAAATAAATCCGAGCCATCGCTACTCCAGACTTATGATTTTTGGTTATTATTGACTCAAACACTACATTCAATTTAAAAATGTAACAAATCAATGAGTGAATAGATGAATAAATAAAAGAAAACTTTGTAAAGTATATATCAGTCAGAATTCAAACATACTTACCTGAGGTAAACTTTAAGAATGCCTAGATATTAGTTTTAGGGACAAGTCTTTGGAATTCTATAGGTCTGATTTAATAATGGAATACTTTACTTCGGAAAGTACACTGTTGTAAAGCCAGAAAATGTTTTGTTTCATCTGTGTTAGGCACATCAAACTTCTAGCAAACTTGTACAATATTTCTTGTCTTTCCAGTTTTCCTGTTATCTCAGCTTTCTGAGGATGCAACCACACAGCAGGGAAAATGCAATTGGATCCACCATGAATTTGCACCCAGGACGGGTAGATTTCCCCAAGTTAATTCACTTCAGCTGACTACACGGGACTCAGCAGAAAAGGGGAAGGAAATTGGCAGTCATCCTTGTTTGCAGCTTGCTAATGTAGCTCTGTTGTGGCTGTCCATATTTGCAGGAGGCACAATCACAGCAGAGCTGTCCTAACAAGCTGCAAAAAGAAAGAAAGAAAGAAAGAAAGAAAGAAAGAAAGAAAGAAAGAAAGAAAGAAAGAAAGAAAGAAAGAAAGAAAGAAAGAAAGAAAGAAAGAAAGAAAGAAGACTGACTAATAACTGTCCCTAATCTATGAGCTGCCCAGGCACAAGAAGAACATGGTATGGACATGCTGATTTCACCTTCCTCCTAGTTCATGCTACTCTCTATAGATGGAAAGAGTCTACTGCAGAAAGTTACATGTTGTCTCTCAAAAAATCAAACAGCATGGGAAACCTCCACAGATAGAACATGCCACTGCAGTCATCTTTCCCATGCAGACAGTGAAGAAAATGAGAGGAGGGAGAATGCCCCCTAGCCTGCAAAACAGAGGTTTCTGCAATGTGGTATCCAGATGTTTTGGAAGTTCATCTCCCAGAAGTCCTGTCCAATATGGCCAATGGCAGGACAGTAACTAGAGCAGGACAAATGGAGCTTCGCCCCAAGGAGCCCAAATTTAGAATGCATGGAAATCTAGAGGTGAATCTGCTGCTGAGCGTTAGGAAAATAAACCTCCCACTCCTTCCTAATCAGTTTGTTTGTTTGTTTGTTTGTTTGTTTGTTTCTTTCTTTCTTTCTTTCTTTCTTTCTTTCTTTCTTTCTTTCTTTTGAAGCATAAACTTCATTTCTTGTGTAAGGCATTATATTCTCCCCCTTCCTTTTCTTGGGAACAAGGATCACACCCATGCTTCAGAGTGGAGTGTGAAAGAAAGAATACAGTAGGATCACACCCATGCTTCAGAGTGGAGTGGGCAGAATACAGTGCCACTTGTAACAGGTTACAAAACTGCTAGTAATGTCTCTGACCAATGGTCAGGGATACTGAGAACTGTAATGCAACAAGAATGGGAATGGCTGAGGTACAGATTATATTCCCCCAATATGGTGTCCTCCAGATGTGCTAGACTGGAATTCCCATTATCACAAGCCAGCATAGCAAAGATCTGCCTAGCTCAGAATGATGGAAGTTGTAGTTCAAAACAACTGGAAACTATTGGGATTGGGGAAACTGGAATATAGTTGTAACAATTATAACTCACATGCTAGATGATGCTCTGGAATGAGAGCTATTGATAAACTCAGGATCTCCAGCCTTCTTTTAATTTTAATACTAAATGTCTGTGAGCTAACAAGCTTCAGGGGTCACTGTGACCTATTAGCTACTCAATGTTCATTTAAAATCATTGGACCAGCAGCAGATAATTATCTCAGGAAAGCTACATTTCTAAGACCAATCAGGTTGTCCAGGGAATAGCAACAACCCTGGAGCTCACATCGTTCTTCCAGTCTACATCTCACACTGCACTGAGTTTAGCCAAATAGAATTAAAGTTGTGTAAAAAGAAAGGCATTGGAGTTGCCATATAAATAACATTTAGCTACTGCAAACTTGGTTTTCTGTTAAGGAAATAAGCGGATTATAGCAAACAAACCAACTAAGCAAGCAATATTTTCTGTGCCCAATCAAATACATATATTTTTCTATGGGTGTGTATGTGTTCTATAGAAGAGAGAGAAAGAGAGAGAAAGAATGTGTATTACACACACAGGGGTGATGAACCTTTGGCATGTCAGATGTTTTGGATGGCAACTCCAAGAATCTCCAGCCTGAATTGCCAATGATAAAGGACTGTGAAAGTTACAATCTGAAATATCTGGAAAGACAAAGGCTTGCCACCTCTATGACACACACATATTTGCACAGCATTCCTACAACTTATGCCTTCAGTCACACTTATCTTGATTTTTTGGCCACAGAGCATCTCACTTGCAACCCATTTTCAGAATGTCTAAACATGTACATGTGAGCAAAATTGTAAAATACACTTTTCAAGGTAGAATAATGTCAGAGCACAGGTTGCTGTCCTCTGAAGATGCCGGCCACAGAGACTGGCAAAACGTTAGGAAGAACAACCTTCAGAACATGGCCAAAGAGCCCGAAAAACCCAGAACAACTATTAGAATAATGTTAGCCAAATAGGATGAATATCTGACCAAATTAATGGAACCAACAAATCCCAACTAAATTGCACTATATCGTTTCAGTGGGCATTTGGCACAACCAGTTTTAACTATGTAACTATGTAATTTTAGATGGTGTAAACAAATAGAAGTAGTTACTATAAAAAAGAAATAGATGCAGAGGGTGAAATGCCGTTGCTTAGTGTGGTAAGTCACAACTAGAGTAGGCCCACTGAATCAGTGGATAATTAGTGGGCAATTCCTCTATAAGTTCTGTTGTTTGAATGGTCCTACTCTAGTACAAACTCACCAGGGCTGTGGAACTGATGAAGCCATTTAGCTTGAAAGCTCTGTTAGGGTTGATATAAGTCAGTTTTGATTTGACAGCACATAAGTACAAAATGCTTATATTAAATTATTGATATTCCACCAATTGTCACTCCTTCTTCAACTGAACGTAGTCCATACATTTCCATACATGTTCATCATATAGACTGAACAGAAAGGAAGATAAAATGCACCTTTTTCTGACACCTTTGCCAATATGAAACCATTTTACCTCTCCATATTCTGTCCTAACAGTAGCTTCTGGTTGACAATACAGGTTATGCATCAGGACAATTAAGTACACCCATTTATTTCAGAACAATGATCCATACAGTCAAAGGCTTTGCTGTAGTCTATAAAGCACAGACTGCTCTTTTTCTCTAGTTCTTTGGTGTACATCAAAGGTTATTTGCAATATAATCCTGACTACCTCTTCTTTTTCAGAATTCAGCTTGAACACTGGGCATTTCTTACTCCAGATAAAGTAAGTCATTGAGCTACCTAGTAGTTGAGTAATCTTAGAATGGCTGGCATCAGGACAATTAAGTACACCCATTTATTTCAGAACAATGATCCATACAGTCAAAGGCTTTGCTGTAGTCTATAAAGCACAGACTGCTCTTTTTCTCTAGTTCTTTGGTGTACATCAAAGGTTATTTGCAATATAATCCTGACTACCTCTTCTTTTTCAGAATTCAGCTTGAACACTGGGCATTTCTTACTCCAGATAAAGTAAGTCATTGAGCTACCTAGTAGTTGAGTAATCTTAGAACTGCTGAGCTGGAAGGATCTCTGTGGATCATTGAGTCCAGCCCCTATCAAGGAGGCACATTGGAGAATCAAACTCCCAACTTATTATTGCACTCCTTGGCATCTTCTTCCTTGGGAACTGAAATGTATATTAAAAGCTTCTGTCAGCCAATGTTCTGTTTCCCATATTTGTTAGTATGTTCTTGTTAGGATTTTGACAGATACAGTCTCTGTGGCTTGAAACAGTTCTATTGGTGTCGTATTAATCCCTGATGATTTATTTATTTCCAGTGCATTCCGAGCAGCTTTCACTTCACTTTTTAGAATTGCAAGTTTTTCATCATAGGATTTCTCTTCAAAGGAATCTGTTATCCTTTTACCTCTTCTATATAGGACTTCAATATACTGCTTCCACATTCTTTTTACTTGCTCCTGGTCAAACAGCATACTTCTCTCTTAGTCTGTCAGCATTCCTAATCTAGTCTTAAATTTCCCTTTGATTTCTTGGATATACTGGAAGAGATTTCTTGATATGAATAGCAAACCAAATTTGGCACCATCTAGATGTATTGGCCTATAACTCCTATTATTACCAGAAGCATTGCCTCACTTACTTGCAGTTATGAATATTGTAGTCCAACACATCTGATGCCCACTAAATTGAGGAAGACTGGGCTAGGCTGTCTTCAGGACTTATGTCTTAACGCTAGTATCTACTAATGACCCTGTACTTTAATTTAGCAATATTTATGAAACATTTCATGGTTTCCCCAAAGAACCAAAACTTGGAACATTTATTTTTGGCCACAGTATATCAAGCCAACTTTGCTTTCTTGCCCTGGCAGCTCTTTTTTTCCCTGTAACATCTTGGCTGGACTATCTGGCTATGAAACCAGAGGCTGGGATTTTGATTCCACACCATGCCTCCTGAGATAAAAGCCAGCCTGTGTAGCCTTGGGCTTGCTGTACACAATCCCATAACACCCTGCCCCAAAAGGGTATAATGAGTCCACTTCTGAAAATGTTATACCTAGAAAAACTTGGAAAGGGTCACCCTAAGTGTGGAAATGGTCACCCTAAATGGGAGTCAACTTAATGGCATGTAAGGTAAAGGTAAAGGTTGCCCTTGACAATTTGTCCAGTCGTGTCCAACTCTAGGGGGCGGTGCTCATCTCCGTTTCCAACCCATAGAGCTAGCATTTTGTCCGAAGATAATCCTCCATGGTCACATGGCCAGTGCAGCTAGACACAGAACGCTGTTTACCTTCCCACCGTGGTGGCACCTATTTATCTACTCGCATTTTGCATTTTGCATGCTTCCGAACCACTAGGTTGGCGGGAGCTGGGACAAGCGATGGGGCCTCATTCCATCACGTGGATTTGATCTTACGACTGACCTTGCAGCACAGAGGCTTCTGTGGTTTAACCCGCAGCGCCACCACATCCCTAATAGCATGTAGTTATTAATTATTGTACAGTGAAGATATCTGGAGACCTTGAATTATTGTATGAAATCCTGAAATTTTGCACGTTTGTAACCTTTTGGTTGGCCTAACAAAGTATTTCTCTTAAGGACAATGTAGTTACCTTGGTCTTTTGTGTAACTAAAATAAAAAAATACTAGATTGATATGGGCAGAAACGTCCTGTCTCTGCAATACAGAAGCAAAGAGACAAAGAAAACTGAAATGTTTCCCTGTGGTAATAAGCAATTTCCTGGATTCTTTCATATTATAAAAGAAGGGGAAATGCTTGTGAACCCTTCTGACTCTTTTGAGAGGCAGAGACATCACACTGTGCTTTATCACTATAACATAATTCAGTGTCATATGCCCTGGGGAAAATGACTTCTGTGTGGATACTGGAAGGACAACTTGTCTCTCTTCACTGAAGATTTTAGTGATTTATAACTGTTCTCCAAGCATCAGCAAGGAAAGAGAGGCTCACCATGACTGGCCTGTTCTATTATTTCCCTACCTCCATTATGGAGTATAGTATAGATGCAAACTTGACAGCCTCTTATTAGTTTTAATGGGAGTCAAGGTCAAGCTAAATATGACAGCAGCAGCTCTATGTGTTTAACAGCAAACAAAGTGTGTGGGTGAGGAGTGCTGAACTGACTCTGTGATCACAGAAGCTCACTTCCCGGCAGCTTATCTCCTCAAGCACTTTTCCTCCAGACAAAATAACTGAAGGTCAAAACATATGTTTAGGCATATCACCTGCAATTGCAATATTTTCCTTCCAGCTTTGTGCCAAAGCTGTCAAATGGGCAAAAGAAGCCTATGTTTACCTCCACATAACCAATCACAAAATAAAAGCAAACTAATTTGTAGGGTGAGGAGCAGAGCAAGCTCTTATGAGGGTATACAGATGTCTTTAACCTTTTAAAGGAACATTGGCTTCAATGATGAGATAACATAATCACTTGGTGTAAGACTGAGCCGACAGCTGACCAGTGAGATGGTTCAATGGTGAAGC